ATGATTTCTCTTGCTTTGAGATCATTCCTTTTTCATGCAGTAGGTTCTCTAAAGACTAAGATTTGTGTCTTTGGGAGTGATCTATTCATGTATTTATTCAGTTGCAGTTACCTTACAAGCAATCATATGGCTATCCATATGGAAAAAGTAAAATTAGATCCAACTTCACACCATCCATAAACAACACATTTCAGGTAGATCGAGGACCTAACTGCAACAAACAAGACTTAACAGGTACACAAGTTGTAGGAAATGACTTCTTCAACATGCCACAAAAAGAGCAAATCCTAACAGAAAAGGCCAATATATTCATCCAGTTATGTTAACAATTTAAATTTTTTAATGACACTTGACAAGATGAAAAGAAAAACTGAAACCAGTTGAAGATACCTGCAATGTCCATGACAGACGGGTATCCCATCCAGAATATACAAAGAGCTATAGCAAACAAACAAGACACAAACTGCTTCAACAGAAAGATATGCCAAGGATGGGAACAGGCAATTAATGAGGGGGGAAGCTCAAAAGCTAATAATCATATGAAAAGATAGGCAACTTTGCGAGTATCAGGGAAATGCAAATTACATCCCAAAGGAGATACCATTTCATCTCCATCATAATGGCTAAAATTAAAAAGGCTGATAATATGGGGCGTCTGGGTGGCTCAGTTGGTTAAGTGGCTGCCTTTGGCTCAGGTCATGATCCCAGGGTCCTGGGATCAAGCCCCACATGGGGGTGGGGAGGGTGCCCTGTGGAGTCCGCTTCTCTCCTCTGCCCGCAGCTCCCCCTGCTTGTGCTCTCTCTTTCAGTCAAATAAATAAATAAATAATAAAATAAAAAGGCTGATAATAGCAAGCATTAGTGGTGATGTGGATCAAAAGGGAACACTCATACATTGCGTTGTGGGAAGGTACATTAGTGGAATTGCTTTTTGTAAAACAATACACCCGTATTCAGTATGGCTGAATATGCACACACCCTCGGACCTAGCTATTCCACTCTTCGGTATATAATCTAGAGAAATACTTGCAAGGGTGCCCATGGGCCACTACAAAGGTGTTCACTGTTTGTATTAGCAGAAAGTTGCAAATAAACTCAAAGACCCTCAACAATAGATAACTAATGCTGGCCTATTTACACGGGGAGTAGCAGAGGTAAAATAAATTAATCAACATGAGTAGATTGCACAAATGCTGGGTGAAAAAAAGCAGGCTTCAGGGGCACCTGGGTGGCTCAGTCAGTTAAGCGTCTGCCTTCGGCTGAGGTCATGATCCCAGGGTCCTGGGATGGAGCCCCACATCGAGCCACCCATCGGGCTCCCTACTCTGTGGGGAGCCTGTTTCTCCCTCTCCCTCTCCCTCTGCCTGCAGGTCCCTGCTTATGCTCTCTGTCAAATAAACAAATAAATAAAATATTTAAAGAAAAGAAAAGCAGGCTTCAGAATGTGTCCAGGATGATATTTCTAGAAAATATAGAAATATGCAACTTTGTACTATAAATTGTTTATATATAGCATATCTGATATTTTACATGTACAGTAAAATTTAAAAACATGGCTAGAAAGAGTACACATTAACTTCAGGCTAGTGGTTGTCTCTAGAGAGGGAGAAAGGATAGGATTGTGTGTCAGGAGAGAGGACTTAAAATGTGTATTTTTTTTTCTTAAAAAATTAACTCAGATTAGAAAAACTGTCAAGGGGCGCCTGGGTGGCTCAGTCGGTTAAGCATCTGCCTTCGGCTCAGGTCATGATCCCAGGGTCCTGGGATCGAGCCCCGCATTGGGCTCCCTCCTCTGCGAGGAGCCTGCTTCTCCCTCTCCCACTCCCCCTGCTTGTGTTTCCTCTTTCACTGTGTCTCTGTCAAATAAATAAATAAAATCTTAAAAAAAAAAAAAAGAAAAAGTGTCAAAATTTGCTAATTCTGCGTGCAACACTCGGTATTTATTGTAGCATTCTAAATTTCTGTTGAAGTATTTTATGATAAAAATAAAAGAGCCCTATAATACCCCCTGCCCAGAGTAAACCATTGTTAATAAGCAGATATGTATTTCTTCAGATGTATTTTCTTTGTGTTTAGTAATTAGGGTTCCTGGTTGCAAACAAGAAAGGTCATTTCTGGCAGAACTTAAGAGGAAAAATAATTTCGTGGATGGAATACAAACAGCTCACAGAATTGGTAGGAAGTATGGGAAATCACACTTGAAAAAGAGGCAGGACCAGTAGGTGGGCCGGACCAAGTGACATGAACTAAGGAATTCTCATTCCCACCGGGCTCTGCTCTTATGCTGCACTCCTCCTGAAGGGGGGAAGCTTTGGGTCGGAACTTCCCGCCGGCTGAGCCCATGATGTCACCTGTCTCTGAACTGGCTGCCAGAGTTAGGAGAGGAAGCATTTGCCCCTTTTAAGACCAGAGCAAAGGCAGAACAACTCCCAGCCCCTTGCCTGTTTTGGGATTCTCCTCAAATAAAAGGATATCACACATGTCCCCCAGAATGAATACATTTCCCTCTTTTTTCCATATATACTCAGCCCCACTTCTCCCTACCTCTCTGTCTCTAACACACACACACACACACACACACACACACACACACACACTTAAACTATAATAGGCTCATACCATGCATACTATTGGGCAAGTTGCATTTTACACTTAATTTATCTTGGACATCTTTCCTTGTTCTTCCCCTATAGATCTTTTTTTTTTTTTTTTTAAAGATTTTATTTATTTATTTGACAGAGAGAGAGAGAGAGAGAGCACAGAGATTTTATTTATTTATTTGACAGAGAGAGAGAGAGAAGCAGGCTCTCCACTGAGCAGGGAGCCCAATGCGGGGCTTGATCCCAGGACCCCAGGATCATGACCTGAGCTGAAGGCAGACGCTTAACTGACTGAGCCACCCAGGCGCCCCTTCCCCTATAGATCTATTTCATTTTTCTTAAGGGTTATGCAGTATTTTGTTGTACAAAAGGACTATAATTTTTTTTTTAAAGATTTTATTTATTTATTTGAGACAGAATGAGAAACAGAGCATGAGAGGGAGGAGGGTCAGAGGGAGAAGCAGACTCCCCGCCGAGCAGGGAGCCCGATGCGGGACTCGATCCCGGGACTCCAGGATCATGACCTGAGCCGAAGGCAGTCGCTTAACAAACTGAGCCACCCAGGCGCCCAAAAGGACTATAATTTTAAAAATAATTTACTGGGATGAAATTCACATAACATAAACCATTTTGAAGTGGACAATCCAGTGGTAGTTAGTACATTCACACTGTCTACAACCACCACCTCTGTCATCACTGGTGTGACCCCCTGCACTCGGAGGTCACTCTCGCGCTTTACCAATGACCTTGTCACCGGCCGACTTCTCAGAAGCACTAAGCACCCACTTTCTATCAGAAAGTATTAAACTAAAACGAAGAGTCGAGATCCAAGTCCCAGAATGGGCCTAAAACTTTAGTCTTTTGTTCTGCGTCTGCATTACTACAATGTTAAAACTTTCAGGCAACACAACGCGCTTAAAAAAAAAAAAAAAAAAAGTTTGCTTTTCTAAAATGTAACGCATTGCTTGTTTCCATCCTTCACACACAACATCAAAGAGCACCCCCCCCCTTAATGTTCAAAATAACAGGCAGTCATAAAGAAGATGTGAGCTGAACCGGCAGGCATCCCCAGATCCCGAGCATCTCCCCCCTCCAGCTCCCCCTGGCGTCCTTTCCGCCTTTTATCGGGGTCTGAAATCTTCACCATTACGAGTTCTTGGGTTAGGGCCCAAGACCATCCCCTAAAGCGGCTGCTCACACCCACATTCGGTCCCCAGCCCTTTCTCATCGCGCATCAGCCGGGATTCTAGGAGTTTCTTGGTCCCAGCGGCCGACCCGGACTTCGCAAAATCCCGCGGTTACCGAGGGGCAGGCAGCTTCAGGCGCTGCGCTGGGGCGTAGGGCCAAGGCAGAGCTAACCAGGGGGAGAAGGGTTACGGCCACCCTACTCATCCTCGCGCCCGGGGAGGGGGCCCTTGTCCCTTTTAGGTGCTGCGAAACCATCCTGGTCCCTGAGACGTGGAGCGAGGAAGTGACTCGCCAGGGCTTTGGGGCAGGAGGGAGCTCGGCCCCGGCCAGGATCCCGCGCTGCCTTCCAGGTGCACCCGGTGTCCCACGGTCCCTGTTTGCACTACTCGTCCCCGGCGCTTGCGAACCGCCCAGCCCAGACACGCTCGAGGCCTCACCGTTGAAGCCGATCACGGCCTCAAGCTCCAGCTCGGCCACCTCGGCTCTGAGCGGAATTTGGTTCTCCATCCTCAGGAGACTGGGCTCTCCCGCCTCTGGGCCTCCAGCGGCGCAGCGTCTTCTGGTCGGTATGGTAACGGACGTGCGCATGCGCACCAGACCCAGGCTCGCGCGGACTCCCGGCTGCCTCGCCCCGAGCTCCCTCTGCAAAAGCAACAGGGCTTCCTTTCTTTGCTATTTCCCTGGAAATTGAGGGGCGCCGAGTGCACGCTTTCCCTCCACGTCTGTGACTTTTCCTCCTAACCATGGAATCAAGCACCGAGTGTCATCTAAGGAAGGATGCTATAAGATAATATATAATGGCCACTTCCTTGGGTCCCTTGTTTGAAGTAGCATCGAAAAGACTTTTTAAGCTTTATTGAGCTATCACTTTACATATAAAATTCACTCTAAGGGAGTTTGGGTAAATTTATACAGTTGGGCAACGATGCCCACGGTCCAGTTTTGCTTTTGTTTTTTTGTTTAAAGCACGGTGAAATTTCAGGTAGCTGCTGGAGGTCTTGAGATGCTCCCACCTTCCCGGGAAAAATGCTTAGGTGTTAGTTCTAACCATTTTATTTAAATTTTATTTAAATTTTATTTAAATTTTATTTAAATTTTATTTAAATTTTATTTAAATTCGCGTCCCTCGGTGGGAGCACATTAGGTTAGATTGCTCCAACCTAATGTTCCCCCGGGGCCGCTTCCCTTTCTCGATCATCCTTCTGGGGCCCCCCGTGCACGCTCCGCGGGCGAACTCCGGGTTCCGGTCGCGCCCGGGCCGAGCCGCGGGGTGTGAGCCGCGCGGGCCGCCGTAGTCAGCTGCCGCGAGCCGGAAGTGTCCGACGGGGGGCGGAGACTGCACGATGGCCCCGGACCCCTGGTGAGCCCCGGGTGAGGGCGGCCGCGCCGAGGGCCCGCGGGGGAGGCCGGGCTTCCGGGGAGCCGGCCGTAGCCGGGCTCTGGGGCCGGGGAAGCCCTTCAGGGTGAGGGGTGGGGCAGCGAGGCCGCTTCCCGCGCCCGGGGGGACCGCGCCGCGCCCCGCCGCCCTCGGTGCTCGCAGGGGTGGCCCGGGAGGGGGCCCGGGTGGACTCCGGGGAGCGGGGGGCTGGTACCGAATCCCGGACACGTGCCTTTAGCCCTTCTCGGCTGCACCTGGCCGCGGGGATACCCCGCCCGTCCTGGCTGCGGAGCTGGCTGGTGCGGGCTTCCTTGGACCCCCGGGAAAGCGAAGTTCAAGTCACCTTTTGGGGGGAATTCCGGTCCATCTGGTGACCTCCCGTCTCTTACTTCCCAGGCGGAGAAACCGAGGTTCAGGACCCACGGTCACCCGCCAGTTAGTAAGCAGTTCGCACTAGGGTGCTGTGGGCCCTTCAAAAAACTTAAGAGGAATCAGGGAGGGAAATTACGCATTTGTTTCTAAGGCATTTAACCCTTACCTGAGTCAGTATCTTGAAGGCCGTTTCTACTGCGGCGACTCTGCTGTAAAAAAAAAAAAAAAAAAAAAAAAAAGCTGATAAGGGTCGTTCCTTCAACAATTAAGCCCTAAGGACTGCATGATGAAAAGACACAAGGTCTGATCCTAAGGAACATATTACTAAGGCATGTCGGACTGGAGTTTTTGTTTGCTTGTTTGTTTAATGATTAAAAGCATATTCTAGCTCTATAAAGTTCTTGTTAATATTTCTGGTTTAGTTTATAATTGTTTAAATTGTAGGCAGTGTGACTCTTAGGAGAATGGGTTGCAGGATCAAAGCTAGCACTACTTTGGATCTAGGTTACCTGCGCCAATGGCTCCCTGGATTTAGCTCTAATTTTTTTCCACCTAATTTTAACACCTGTATACACTCTGATAGCAAGTTTAGAAAATACTGAATATTTGCAGAGGAAAAAAAAAACAAACCCACATCTTCAACTCTATCATTTGGAATAATAGCCGTTATTGATTTTAAAATGAAAACATGAGTTTATATAATATGCATATGTACATGTATGCATACACATATATATATTATATGTACAGGTATCTCCGCTTCTTGAGACTTCACATTATGCCCCTTTGCTTTTATTGAAAGACTTACCTTAGTACCTGTTTTTGCTAACCAGAAGAAATCAGAAGAGGATTTTTGCTTTTGAAAAAAATGGGGAAAGCAAAAATAGCATTCAGCGTTTGTTTTGCAGCGAGCTGTCATAGAGACATTGCACACCCAGTCAGCGAGAGTGACCCCCACCCCAAGCTCCTTCCCTGGCAATTACACTCAGCATCTCAGCATCAAGCTGTCATAGCTTTGTCTGTGAGCATCTGGGCTTTATCTTGGTTTATTTTGTGTATCTGTTAGCAAGATGGGCCCTAAGGTATCAGAAAAGCCCAAAAGAGGTTATTTTTCGGGGTCTAGGAAAGCTCAAAAATTTTTCCATATATATTTATGGTAATTGGCCTCTTTGCTTTACTCCATTTTGGCTTGGGAGAGTTTTTTTGTTTTCTTTAAGACTTTATTTATTTGGGAGAGAGAGAATGAGAGACAGAGAGCATGAGAGGGAGGAGGTCAGAGGGAGAAGCAGACTCCCCACTGAGCAGGGAGCCCGACGTGGGACTGGATCCCTGGACTCCAGGATCATGACCTGAGCCGAAGGCAGTCGCTTAACCGACTGAGCCACCCAGGCGCCCAGCTTAGGAGAGGTTTTATAGGAAGACTGTTTTTGGATAGTGAGGGAAACCTGCATGTTTTACAAAGCAAGGAACATTTCTCCATGTCATTAAATATTTACTGAAAACATGATTTTTTTATCGTGCGTAATAGTGCATTGTATGAATAACTGTAATTTATTTACTTATTTCCCTCTTTGTAATGTCAGAGTTTGTTTTTGTTTAACTATTGCAAAGACTGCCCCTTTGTTCCATTCCTTATTTCGTCCACTTGCTTTCTGGAAGTGGGACTGTTAGATTGAAGGATATGAACATTTTTTTTTTTTTAAAGATTTTATTTATTTATTTGACAGAGAGAGAGAGATAGCGAGAGCAGGAACACAAGCAGGGGGAGTGGGAGAGGGAGAAGCAGGCTTCCCGCCGAGCAGGGAGCTCGATGTGGGACTCGATCCCAGGACCCTGGGATCATGACCCGAGCCGAAGGCAGATATGAACATTTTTAAGGCCCTTGATACGTATTGCTAAATTGCCGTCCACCTCCTGGGAGCTAACCCCCTCACTTTACACATAAGGTGGGAAATAAAGCTCAGAGACGGTTATCCATTTAGATTGGTGGAAGCGATCATTGGACCCCAAGCCTCTTCCCCAGTTTATGCTGAGAGCACATCATGTTTCCTGTTACTCTCAAGTAGTTTGACCCAACGGCTTTCTCATCTGACTGTTGATGGTGAAACAGTGAGGGAACTCCTCTGTGTTGGCATCGGGTACCTTGCAAAGTAGGTTGCTCATGAAGAGGGCGGAAGGGAGTATGGAATGGGACTTTGAAAAAAACCTATAAAAACAGACTTGATGACATACAGTTTTGCCTTTGTGCTCTTGAAAAATCATATGTCAATGATGCTTTACTCCTGAGTGATATAATGGAATATATTTTGGCTAATTGAACATAACAATGACAAAAATGGAATATAGCAATGACTGCTTTAATGGCATATCAAAGCAAGTGACAAGCTCACTTTTTAATAGAAGTAGCAAGTGATTACTGCCTCTTAACTGGTTCATTGCTAAAGTTAATTAACTTTACTGCTGGGGCAACGTATTTGTTGATGATACATCATTTCTGGAAAAATTACGGTTAAACAGACCCTAACAGTTTTATATTCTGGTTGGTCCTTTTTTGGGTCTATTCTAAAAACTGTTATGGAAGGTAAAATATATACAAAGTGGACTAGTATAATGAACCCCTTTATACTCCTCACCCAGTTCCTGTAATTACCAATATTCTGCCATACTGGTACCATCTCTGCCCTCCACGTCTTTTTTCCCTGAGATTTTTTTTTTTTAAGTAAATCTCATACACGTATGAATTTAACTGTTGTGCATTCAGTTTTTGTGGTAGAACAGGGGCTCAGTTCATAGTCTGGGAACTTCCTCTTTGCTCCCCTTTGTGGCTCGTTGGTCTCTGCCGGGGCATCACCATCCTCTGAGTCACTTAGGCCTGAAAACTCCAATCATCCCCTTTTTCTTCACTCCTCCTATCAGATTATTAAGTCTTTGGTTTTTCTCTTAAATGCCTCCGGCATCTCTTTTATGCCATCTGTTAATGCTGTGGCCTCATCCTTTTAGCCCTGTGCCTCGCAGACACACAGTAGATCCTAGTGACCAGTTATAGAACTGGAGAGCTGGAGAAGCTTTCTGGTCTCGCGCCAACCCCCTCTCGTTCCCAGCCATTTGTGTAAACGAGTTCAGGTTCCTAAACTAGTGGTGTAGGCACTAATGTGCTTGATAACCGTGATGAGGCTGCCCATGACCTCTAGGCCCGTGGTTCTCAAACTTGGGTACGCATCGGAAGACCTGGGGGAGTTTTCACAAGTCCTCGCGTCCAGGTCAAACCCCATTCCAGTTTAAACAGCATGCGTGGGGCTGGGGCCCAGGACTTAGCTGCGATGTTGTTGTTTCAAGATTCCCCTGGTGATCCCAGTGCCAGCAAAGTTTTAGAACCACCGCTCTCCAGGGCTAACGTGGGAACGTGAGGAGTGGGAGCAAAACATCTGGGATTTTGGCCTTCTGCATTTCACAGAACCTCTTCAAGGGCTCACTCGATGTGTGAAAGGGTCCCCTACAGCTCTGAAGCCCTCTTTCAAAAGTCTCACCTGATTATCCTGGTGTTTGAGGCTCTGCAGAAACTAGCTTCCACGCACCTGTACCCTCTGATGCCGTATCCTCCCACCCAGGACCGCGCAGCCGAATGCACCAGGCACATGTCCTTCCATTTCCTTCCTTTCACCCTTGCTTGCTCCTTGTGCCTTTTGCCAAGTCTAGGATGTGCCCCTCCCTCCTGCTTCAACCTTGCGGTTCAGCCCAGGATGTACCCTCTTGGCCCAGCCCGGTCAAGTCTGAGTGTCCTCGGCCGCCAGTTATTCCTCTCACTTTCAGATTCGATGTTTTGCAGGAGCTGTATCGTAACTTATTATTGATCTTCATTGGTATGGTCTGGGACTACAGAGCCAGACCTAAGCTCCTCTTTTCAGAGAGGACAGTATGGAGGGGTAAAGGGGAAACGTGGCAAAGAGGGGCCAGGACCCAGTTTCCTTACCAGCTTCCCTCCTATTTTCTTTTTTTTGGTCGGGGAGAGGGGCAGAGGGAGAGAGAGACTCTCAAGCAGGCTCCACGCTCAGTGCAGAGCCTGACCCGGGGCTCGATCTCACGACCCTGAGATCATGACCTGAGCTGAAATCAAGAGTCAGACGCTTAACTGACTGAGCCACCCAGGCGCCCCTTCCCTCCTATATTCTTAATTATGTGTTGTATCACCTGCTCTTTTTCTGTATATGTGAACATACACACACTTACACACGTATATATGCATGATGCTAGTTTAGCATACAGAGGGGAGTTGTTAAAGATCCTACCTCATGGGATGTGACGTTCAGAATGTAACCCTCTTAGCCCGGGACCTGGCCCAGAACAGGTACTCAGCTGTTACCCATTGCTGCAATTACTGTAGTAAGATCGCCAGGGGAAGCAGTTGGAGATTGTTTTTCCCATCACTGAAAAACACATTCGCCAAGTTCCCTCAGTGTAGGAGTAACGTGTGGGAGTTCAAAGATTTTAAGAAATGGATCGTTTAGTTTTTTCAAGCAGAAATTGGGGCATTAGGTGAAGCAGCAGTTTTCAGTATTTGGTACTGGGACAGTCCTGGGAAATACGTTGGTCGTATCAAGCAGACTACCTGGTAGGAGAGATGCAGCGTGTGTGCGCGCTTAGCTCGTCTCTGTGAAACGAATAGAAAGTAAGGCCGTCACAAAAGGACAAAATAAGAGACGATTGTGAATTCACTGTGAATTTTTCAAAGCCTCCAACGCTTTGAATGCCAAATAGAAACTCAGCAAATGTTCTGAGAGAGTTCTTGTAAGCTTAGCTATCAGGAGGGTGTGTGTCCCATGTCCCTAGAACATTTAGTTGTAGGATAAACAGTACTTCCTGTCCCTGTTTTGTAAAGCTCTTCCCCTGCCTGGCTGCCTTCCTCACCTTGCCTGTCACTCTCTTGTTTTTTTTTTTTTTTTTAAAGATTTTATTTATTTATTTGAGAGAGAGAATGAGAGAGACAGAGAGCACATGAGAGGGGGGAGGGTCAGAGGGAGAAGCAGACTCCCCGCCGAGCAGGGAGCCCGATGCGGGACTCGATCCCGGGACTCCAGGATCATGACCTGAGCCGAAGGCAGTCACTTAACCAACTGAGCCACCCAGGCGCCCTCTCTTGTTCTGTTATCCTGCTTTATTTTTCTTCTTAGCGCTTGACTACTCCATATTTATTTATCTTATGCCTTTCTCCCTTCGCTAAGCTCCTTGAGCAGGGGCTTTGTCCATTTTGTTCACTGCTCTGTTCTGCAGGGCCCAGAACAGTGCTTAGTACAAAGGAGGCCCTCCATAAATGTTTGCTGAATGTTCTAGAAGTGAATGAATTCAAACACCTGACCATGGGCAGAATGGCGAAGCGGTTAGGAGCAGAGTCTCAGGGCCGGACAGCCTTGGTTTGCGGCTGGTGGTACCTCTTGGGCAAGTCGCTCTACCTCTTTGTGCCTGATTTTCTCCCTTGTAAGGTGGAGATGGTAATGGGACACATCTCCTGTTGTTTTTGTGTGGATTAAGTGAATTATTACAAATGAAGCATTCAAGATAGAGCCCAGCTCATCATTATTTACTGTAATAGCAACACATGTCCCTATGACTGTCACTATTACTACCCTCCCCTTCTGTTTGAATCTGCGGCTAGAATTAAAAAAAAAAAAAAAAATGAAGCTCAGATAATGCGGAAATCATCTTTTAAAGAACCTTAACATTCTTCTCCCTTTACGACTTCGATGCAGGTTCTCCACATATGATTCTACCTGCCAGATTGCTCAAGAGATTGCCGAGAAAATCCAACAGCAAAATCAGTATGAAAGAAATGGTGAAAATACAATCAGGGTAAGACCAGGAGGAAATTAGTCCTTGGAATGATTTCTTTGAGCTTGGAGGTCTGAAAACCCTCCTGCTGAGGCTCCGTGTGTGTGTGTATGTGTGTGTATGTGTGTAATGACCTCCAAACTTACACGTGTAGAATTGACATTACAACCAATTAGTTAATCATTATAACTGAGACTAAATGAAGCATGACACCTGTTTAATTCTCCTACTTCACCTTAAAAGTTTCTAACAATTTCATAATCTAGTTCAAACCCAGACAGTAAATCTCCCAGGCTTTGCAGGACAAGAGGTGACGTCTTCACCTCTTGGAGGATCTATTCTTGCCAAAAGGATAATAGCCTTTTTTACATTTTACATGCAAAAACGTAAATAGCTTACAGGCTGTACAAAAACAGTGGCAGGATTTGACTAGGAAATATATTTTTTAGACGCTCATGAGTTCATGCTAGCACCTTCAAGTCTAACACCATGAGTTTCTAACCTTCTCCATTCTAAATTCGTATTTTTCTTTTCCAGCAGTCAGAACTTTGGTTTCCAAAAACAATATCTTTTTGCCCACTTTATAGTTTACAGAAAACAGTTTCAGAATTCCTACACAGGTACCACCACAAACACTAAGTTTGAATTTGTCTTTTTTTTTTTTTTTTTTTCAACTTTTTAAAACTAATATCCCACTGGGTGCCTGGGTGGCTCAGTTGGTTAAGCAACTGCCTTTGGCTCAGGTCATGATCCTGGAGTCCCAGGATCAAGTCCCACATTGGGCTCCCTGCTCAGCAGGGAGTCTGCTTCTACCTCTGACCCTCCCCCCTCTCATGTGCTCTCTCTCTCTCATTCTCTCTCTCAAATAAATAAATAAAATCTTAAAAAAAAAAAAAACCTAATATCCCACTAATAATACCGAGGTTATTCTGTTCTAAAGTAATTAGGATGGATTCTTTTTTTCTGTGTTTTATGCTATCCTTTGCATCTGTTTATATTCATTTTTTTTGTACTTAACTCTTTAATCCCCATCACTTATTTCCCCTATCCCCCCACCCACCTGCCCTGTGATAACCACCAGTTTGTTCTCTATAGTTGAATCTGTTTGTTGATCCATCTCTCTTTTTTGTTTTCCCTTTGTTCCTTTGTTTTTTTCCTCAGATTCCACCTATGAGTGAAATCATATGGTATTTGTCTTTCTCTGACTTATCTCAGTTAACATTATACTCTCTAGCTCCATCCATGTCGCAAATGGCAAGATTTCATTCTTTTTTGATGGCTGAGTAATATTCCATTGTATCTATATACCACATCTTTATCCATTTATCTATCAATGGACACTTGGGCTGCCTCCATAGCTTGGCTGTTGTAAATAATGCTGCTATAAACATTGGGATGCGTGTACCCCTTTGAATTCATGTTTTTGTATTCTTTGGTAGGATGGCTGTTTGGATTGTTTCTACTATTTTGCTGTTATGAAAAATGTGGCAATAAATACCTTTATGCTTTTTCCCTCCTTATATTTGTGGAGGTGTCTTATAAGGGTGAATTCTCAGAACCAGTAGGGTGATTACTGGATCATTGGGCAGTTTTATTTTTAACTTTTTGAGGGCCCTCCATACTGTTGTCCACAGTGATCGCACCAGTTTGCATTCCCACCAGTGGTGCACGAAGGTTCCTTTTTCTCCACATCCTCGCCAACACTTGTTGTTTCTTGTATCGTTGATTTAACCATGCTGACATGTGTGAGGTGATATCTTGTAGTTTTGATTTGCATTTCCCTGATGATGAGTCATGTTGAGCATCTTTTCTTTTTTTTTTTTTTAAAGATTTTATTTATTTATTCGAGTGAGAGAGAATGAGAGATAGCGCGAGAGGGAAGAGGGTCAGAGGGAGAAGCAGACTCCCTGCCGAGCAGGGAGCCCGATGTGGGACTTGATCCCAGCACTCCAGGATCATGACCTGAGCTGAAGGCAGTCGCTTAACCAACTGAGCCACCCAGGCGCCCATGTTGAGCATCTTTTCATGTGTCTGTTGGCCATCTGTATGTCTTCTTTGGAGAAATGTCTGTTCATGTCTTCTGTCCATTTTTAATTGGATTATTTGTTTTGGGGGTGTTGAATTGTATCAGTTCTTTATATATTTTGGATACTAACCCTTTATCAGATATGTCCTTTGCAAATATCTTCTCCCATTCAGTAGATTGCCTCTTTGTTTTGTTGATTGTTTCCTTTGCTGTTCGAAGCTTTTTGTTTTGATGTGGTCCCAGTAGTATATTTTTGCTTTTATTTGCCTTGCCTTAGGAGACATATCTAGAAAAACGTTGTGGGGCACCCGGGTGGCTCTGTTGTTAAACGTCTGCCTTCGGCTCAGGTCATGATCTCGGGGTCCTGGGATCGAGCTCTGCATCGGGCTCCCTGCTCAGCGGGAAGCCTGCTTCTCCCTCTCCCTCTGCTGCTTCCCATGCTTGTGTTCCCTCTCTGACAATTAAATAAATAAATCTTTAAAAAAAAACAAAAACAAAAAAGAAAAACATTGCTATGGCCAGTTTTTACTGCCTGTGCTCTCTTCCAGGAATTTTATGGTTTCAGGCCTCATATTTAAGTCTTTAATCCACTTGAGTTTATTTTTGTGTGTGATGTAAGAGAGTGGTCCAGTTTCCCCCTGCATGTTGCTGTCCAACACCATTCCACACCTTTCCCAACACCATTTGTTGAAGAGACTGTTCTTTCCCATTGGATATTCTTTCCTGCTTTGTCAGAGATTAATTGACCATATAATTGTGGGTTTATTATATTAATTTTTAATACTTCTTATATGTAACCATTTTCATTAATTTTGGTTTATTCTTCCTGTGTTAACTTTTTGCAGAAATAAGCATCTGTGTATATGTGTATGTGTTCTCATTTCTCTTCCTTTTACACAAACAATACTCTTTTGTATCTTGCTCTTTTTATTTAATACTACATTGTAGTGATCCCTCCATATTAATTCACTGAGATCTTTGCTGTTCTTCTTTAGGGCTACATAATACTCTATTGCACAGATGTGTCATGTCCGTTTAACCTGTCTATAAAGATGGATGTTTGGATTGTTTCTACTATTTTGCTGTTATGAAAAATGCTGCAATAAATACCTTTATGCTTTTTCCCTCCTTATATTTGTGGAGGTGTCTTTTTTTTTTTTTTAAGATTTTATTTATTTGTCAGAGAGAGAGAGAGACAGAGCACAAGCAGGGGGAGAGGCAGAGGCAGAGGGAGAAGCAGGCTCCCCGCTGAGCAAGGAGCCGGACGTGGGGCTCGATCCCAGGACCCCGGGACCATGACCTGAGCCAAAGGCAGCCGCTTAACTGACTGAGCCACCCAGGCGTCCCTGTGGAGGTGTCTTCTAAGGGTGAATTCTCAGAACCAGGGTGTATGTGATTTTTTTTTTTTACCCATTGGCAAATTCCCCTCCACAAGTGTGTTGACCTTTGGCGCCCTGACCAGCAGAACACAAGTTTCTGTTTCTTCACAGGCTGGCTAACAGATGGTGCTCTCAGTCTACCAACTTGTTGCCGGTCAGATAAGTGAGACATGGTATTTCAGTGTAGTTTCAAATTTGCATTTTTTCATATACGAATCGAGGGAAGTATGTTTTCACATGCTTAAACATTATTTATATACATTTTTCTGAGAAGTTCTTATCTTTTGCCCTTTTTTAAAATTGGATTGTTGGTCTTTTTAGTTTTTAAGAGTTCCTTACATAATACGGAGATTTAGTTCTTGGTGATAGATTGTAATTTATTTTCTTTATCATTTGTTGTTTGGCTTTGCCCATGGTATCATCTGCCATGTGAAAGTTTTGGGTTTTTTTTGTTTTTTTAATAATTTTTTTTTTTTTTTAAGATTTTATTTATTTGACAGAGAGAGACACAGTGAGAGAGGGAACACAAGCAGGGGGAGTGGGAGAGGGAGAAGCAGACTTCTGGTTGAGCAGGGAGCCCGATGCGGGGCTCGATCCCAGGACCCTGGGATCATGACCTGAGCCGAAGGCAGACGCTTAACGACTGAGCCACCCAGGCACCCCAAAGTTTTGGTTTTTTTAAACAGAGTTGGCTAATGATCTTTAATTGCTTCTGCATTTTCACTCATAACTTTTGCAGTTTCTGGGATGTAAGGAATTTATTCCTGTTTTCTTCTAATAAACATATGGTTTCACTTTTTACATTTAGATCTCTGATTCATTTAACTGGTATCATCTTGGATAGTTAGATTATTTCTAATTTATAAGTGAGTTTTCAGTGTGGCTAAATTATTGCCCACGTGAGAGTAATTTCTCAGTGTAGACTTTCTGGATTTACGTCGTATGAAATCTTTTTTTTTAACTTTTACTTATTTATTTTTTAAGATTTTATTTATTTATTTGACAGAGAGACAACATGAGAGGGAACACAAGCAGGGGGAGTGGGAGAGGGAGAAGCAGGCTTCCCGCTGAGCAGGGAGCCCGATGCGGGGCTAGATCCCAGGACCCTGGGATCATGACCTGAGCCGAAGGCAGACGCTTAACGACTGAGCCACTCAGGCGCCCCGGTCGTATGAAATCTTAAGCCTCTTGTACATATAATTCTGTACCAATTCTGATTATCTTTTAAAAATCATTCTCATTCTGTTAGGTGAAATTATACAATAGATTTTTTTTTTAATTACTTATGCCATTGAACATGTTTTCATATATTTATTGGACACTCGTATTTCTTCCTTTGTGAATTTCCAGTATATGTCCTTAACCTAACCTGTTATTTCTTTTTTTTTTTTTTTAAAGATTTATTTATTTATTTATTAGAGAGAGAGACAGACAGCAAGAGAGGGAACACAAGCAGAGGGGGTGGAAGAGGGAGAAGCAGGCCTCCTGCCGAGCAGGGAGCCCAATGTGGGGCTCAATCCCGGGACCCTGGGATCATGACCTGAGCCGAAGGCAGATGCTTAACGACTGAGCCACCCAGGTGCCCCTAACCTGTTATTTCTTAATCTCAGTGCTCTTTTTGTGTATGTTGACTATAGTAATGCTTGATCTGGCGTATTTGGTACCAATATTTTTTCTCTTAATTTGGCCTTTGATTTTATAAATGACATTTTTTTGGACATGTACTTGTTTTTAAACTCTATTTGAAATTTTCAATATTTTTATTTGTGGTCTTTTCTTCTAGAAAGAGGGGAGATAATGCTGAGAAAGCTCTTTCATACCCAGAGATTGTATAAATATTTTATCTGATCACCTAAATCTTCTTCAAGATTTCTTTCAGTTTTTATTTTTAAACACGTATGTTTAAAATATTTGAAGTTTATTTTGGTATGTTGTGGGCATCTAATTTTACTTTTTTTTCCATTTGCAAAATTATTCCTTACCCTACCCCCCACGATCTGAAATATTCTGTATTTCATTCACCCAATTTTTGCTCAGCTGCACTATTCCTGGACCTTCTGTTCTGTTGCACTAAAGAAGCTTTGCTAACTGCCAGCATCATACTCTTGTGGTTATTATAAAAACTTCAGATCTGATTGTCAAAGTCCCCCTCTATCACACATATTCCTTGTCTTTCTCTATTTCCCTTTATCCATGTTTTAGAATAATTTTGCATAGCTTCATTAAAATTCTTTTGTACTGAGCCTCAATTACCACCTCTTTTCCAATAAAAGAACTCCAAATGGGACTTTGAATAGATGTGTAGTTTATTTATAGATTAAATTGGGGGACATTTATATTTCTACAATATTAAGTGTTTCCTTTTACTCATTCCTCCATCGAATATTTCCCGTGCAGTCACTGTGTGCCAGGCAGGCACCGTGCTAGATATTTTTTAGTTGTTGTTGGCATTGTTAATGATGTTTAAAAATAATAATTAAAAAAAATTCTCCCCACCTATTACTTAAATTTAGAAATGCCCTAGATTTTTTTTCATTTTACAGTTGATTACTGTACTGATTTCTTTTCCTGTTCCTAGTAATCTGTCAGTGGCTGCACTTAATTTTCCCAAACAGACTAATCCATTTGGAAATAATGGAATTCCTCTCCTTCTTTCCAGCCCTTGTGTATTTTTTTTAAGATTTTTAAATTTATTTATTCGACAGATAGTGCGAGAGAGAACACAAGCAGGGGGAGTGGGAGAGGGAGAAGCAGACTCCCCGCTGAGCAGGGAGCCCGATGCGGGGCTCGATCCCAGGACCCTGGGATCATGACCTGAGCGGAAGGCAGACGCTTAAGGACTGACCCACCCAGGCGCCCCGCCCTTGTGTATTTCTTTAGCTTGTCTTAGTGCGTTGGTTAGAACTTCTAGACCAAAGTTGGATAATGTCGTAGTTAAGGCAATAGTGTGCCATTCCTAGTTTTCTTTCTCTGTTTCTGTTTTGTTTTTAATTAATTCCCCCTATGCTGTATTAATCATTAACGCTGTCAGCGTTATTACTAGATTTTCTAACATCAAACTGTTCTTAAATTACTAGGATAAATTCTACTTGGTGATGGCATATTGTCATTTTAACATAATTCTGAATTTGCTTTGCTAATATTTTTTATTTTTTTTATTTTTTATTTTTTTTTTATTTTTTTTATTTTTTTTTATTTTTTAAAGATTTTATTTATTTATTTGACAGAGACAGAGACAGCGAGAGCAGGAACACAAGCAGGGGGAGAGGGAGAAGCAGACTCCCCGCCGAGCAGGGAGCCCGATGTGGGACTCGATCCCAGGACCCTGGGACCATGACCCGAGCCGAAGGCAGTCGCTTAACCAACTGAGCCACCCAGGCGCCCTTGCTAATATTTTTTAAAGACTTTTGTATTTTATAATCCTTATGGGAGATTGGCATGTGGTTTCTTTTTTTTCCCAGTATCTCTGTCAGTGCTCGTTACCAGGGTTATGTTAAGCTTAAAATACAAATTAGGCTTTCTGTCTTTTTCTGTGCTTTGGAAAGTTTCTGTTGAATTATGATGATGGAAAACTTTTCCTGATTATAAAAGTAATCATTTTCTTATAAAATATTTTAAAAATCCCACTACCTAGAGATAACTTCCCTTGGCATTTTAAAGTATTTAGTTCCTGGATTGGTTTTTCTCAGTGTGGATGACATTTCAATTTTTTTTTCTTTGAATAAATTATGATGGCTCTCTGTGTTCACAGATTGAGATTTCAGTCATACTTTTTTAATGGCTGCGTTCTCTTTCATCTCTTGAATGCTTTTGAGCTTTAATTTTATAGACTCTTCTTAGGTTGGATGTGCGTGTGTGTGCGTGTGTGTTGTGCTTTTTTTTTTGTCTGATTTGCTCTTTATTACTTGAATGACAGGAGATCTGCTTTCCTTGGTATTTCCTCATAAACATTGTGGGTGGTTTTTCCATGGTTCCCAGAGGTATTAGAATAGTTAAGGTTAGACTTTTCTTGGCTGCTGATACCTTTGAGGATTGCTTGATGTGTGTAACCCTTGGCCAGCCTCTGTTGTCCTGCTCTTTTTTTCCTTAGTGTGACCCTGCTAATCTAGGGAGGGAGCCCTGGATTCCACTGCAGGTTTGTAATTGCTACTCTGAACAAGGTAGCAAATGAAATCTGTGATAGTCTGTCTTTTGAAAACATATCTCTGATTTCACCCATGGCTGACCGGATTTAATTTACATGGGCAATTTTATGTTTCGTATTTCTCAATTCCTGAGAGCCTCTCTCCCCACCCTCCTCCATCCTTCAGGGCAGCACTCAGAGTCACAAACCAAAGTTTCCTCTGGGTCTGTAGAGTGATTGAGAAAATTCACACACTCTTGGAAAAATAGTCACGTGTGGTTAACGTTGTATAAGAAGGGCACACCGCTGTAAAACTTTTAAATGGGTTTTAAGTATACCAGTGTATTTAGAGAAGACTGGTCAGGATGGCAGTGGAACTTGATGTCTTGTCCTTTGAAGCATGGTTGAGGGATCTTCATTCACTGGTGAATGAAGACTAGGGAACCCAATTTCCTGCATAGCTCCAAGGTGGGCAAATAGGATCGGAGGGTAGGGGGACAGAATTCAGACTGTGAGGGCCAAGTGGCAGTTTCTAGTCAGTATCTATCCAGGTATGGCCCAGCTTACCGCCTGGTCACAGCAGAGAGTGGATACAAGCATCAGGTGGGTGACTGGATCAAAATTTAGATACCTCCTAGCCCTGAGGGTATCCTTGGGAGGTTAGGCGTCTCTGCCAGCTTGCCCTTGAAGGAATCAGAGTATGTTTATGTGCTATTTTTAGTAGACCCTACACCTCTGGACCAGCATACTTAGGATGTGTTCTTTTCTTTCCAGCTTACCGTGACAATCAGAACTTTGTTGCAGAATCTGAAGGAAAAGATCGCCCTTTTGAAGGACTTATTGCTAAGAGCTGTGTCAACACATCAGATGTATCCATGTAAACATTTCCACCTCTTTTTTAGAGTGGGAGGAAAAGCAGTCTTATTTGAAGAAAGGAAGGAATCTGGGCCACCCAGATTTTTCCACAGCTTGAGGAAGACCTGGTTTCTAAAATATTGCCTATAATCTCGATTTCTATTTTAAGTGTCTGTTACATGGTTTACAGTGAATATGCTGGCGAAGCAAGACGTACTGACGGCATCAGCTTATTTGGGTATTTATTTGGGTGTAACCTTTACCGTGTAGGAGGCGAGTGCTTTCTGCCAGTGCTGTGTCTCCTCCGAGCCCTGCGCTGCCCCCGGTCTAGACTTGTCCTGAAGGTGGTGAACCACTGCTCCCACAGGGGACCGTCCCTGACAGTCCCGAGCTGCGATTATGCTGCAGCGTCCAGGCTTTTGAGTGATCCATTCTCTTTTCTGAGAGGCCAGTACCGGTAGAAATCATACATCGTCGGGGATTTATCCCTGTTTATGTAGATTATTGAGATGGGCCAAGTTTGCCTTCATAGGCTTCGAGAAGCACAGAGGCCGCCCTTGGCTTGGGAGTTTTTGGGTGGGGGAGGGGTGGGCAGGAAGCACTTGCCTCCCACCAACACTGTCAAGTACTGAAACCTTTTTTTTTTTAGAAGTTCATAATCTGATCAATTTAGGAAAATACATGTGACCTGTTACCTAAACCAGCCCTTTAAACGTGAGTTTATATGGGTTTGAAAACTGGCCTCAAACTGCTCCTCTCTCGTTTCTTCAAATTATCAGTTCATACCAAAAAGCCAGATTTGAGTATCTCAAGAAATGGCTATTACTGCCTGATTTTAAATGGGAAAATGTAGGAATATAGCTTTTTGACAAAATAATAGAAAATGTTTTAACAGTTATTTTCTCCCAAGTGTAACCCCTTATGCTACCAGGGAGGTTTGCTTAGATTAATGGCATGAGTTTCCAAATATTCAATTACTAACACACTAACGTTTCAAGTAAAAGTTTAATTTCGATAAACAATGGGGGCCTTATTTTTAACACAACTGGAATATTCTGGTACATTTAGTTTGTAACTTTGCTCTCCATCTGTTATCATTTATTTTTTTAAGATTTTTTTTTTTTTTATTCATGAGAGACAGAGTGAGAGAGAAAGGCAGAGGGAGAAGCAGGCTCCCAAGGAGCAGGGAGCCCGATGCGGGACTCGATCCCAGGACCCTGAGATCATGACCTGAGCCGAAGGCAGATGCTTAACCATCTGAGCCACCCAGGCGCCCTGTTATCATTTATTACTGCACATCTTTTATATACATATGTGCGGCGGGATCCCAGAACTCTGAGATCGTGACCTGAGCCGAAGGCAGACGCTTAACTGACTGAGCCACCCGGCGGCCCCTGCACATCTATTATAAAGAGGGTTTTTATTTTATCAAAATCAACAAGTCGTAATATGTAGACCTTAGATGGTTTCTGATTGGCCCGGCTACTGTCTGCACGTAAGGTCCAGCTACGCACGCTCATTTTCTTGTTACCTAAAGCACACATGTTAGGAAGGTAACTAAATAGTCCTTTCACGATATAATATTAACAACTATGTATTTGCTAACTTCCATTAAGGTAACTGATTATTATGCATCTTATAATATTTATGTGCTAAACTAGAGGGCAAAAAAGAAACAAATTAAGAACTCTTACTTTTTTCTATTGGTAACTTCTGCTCTTTATTAGTTATAGAGAAGCATGTGGCGGTAATAATTGACTCGACTTTGTTCTGAATGCTTTCAGCCTGACTGTCTTTTGAAATCTCGTAGACTTTGGTTTTGTGGTCATCTCAGAATTTGCTGAACGAAGCATGAAGAATATATAAAAATATTTTAAAATATTGAACAGAGTTATTAAACACATTTTGAAAATATTTAAGGACATTACTGTGGATAATTTAGAATGTTGTAGGATAAAGCAGAAACTCAGCTGGACTGTAACAGCGTTCTTTAAAATCTTGAGTATTTTTTCAAAACAATGGGGTCTCTTTCTGCTGGAAGCGGGACCTGTACTAAGGACAGAATTCCAGTCACCCACCCCAAGGGGGCGCTCAAGACCTCTGTGTTTTCAGGGAGACCACTTCTTTTGATAGAATGGAAAGGCGGTAGCTTCTCTAATATGAAGGCCTCTTTTTAATTCTCTTTCTGTTCCCCACATCTTCCCGTCCCTTGACCTTCCTCTTCCCAGCTATTCCAAATAACTCGATGGCAGTCCTCCTCCGGATTTAAGCCATATGGGATAGCTACTTCTGTTGGTGGTTCCTTGTTTTCTTTACAAAAAAGGTACTGAGGCTAGGTCAGCCTTTGCAGCCCAAGTCACGGGCGGAGCTGGAAAAGGAATCCAGCATCCCAGCAGAGGAGTGTTTTACCCCGAGGAGAGGAATCTGAGGGCTGAAGTAACTTGCCCCAGACCCCACAGCTGGGAAATGGAAGAGCTTGGACGCAGAGTCAGGGGTGTCTGGCCCCCAAGCCAGTTGTTTAAAAGCCGAATTCTACTTTAGTAGAAATAATACAGTCATCTGTCACCTGGCTTGTCTTCAACTAGAATTCCCTAATAATTGGCACGTTGCTCTCATGCCAAGACAAATCCTGTTTATAATGCAAATCCTCAAGACCCTCCTTAATCATCAGAAAGATTAAACACTGTTCACTGTGGTTTATTAGGTATACTTTATGATGTTGTAATTCTTAGAAAAATTTTTGTCCGTAAATCGCCAACAGAGTGACTGCTTAATCCTTTTTTTTTGGAGGCATAATTAATGTTGGGTGACTTTTTTAACGTGAATATTTGAATACCACATTTCCTTACTGTGTTGGGTAGTTGAGAGTTTACAGCACTTTACCTAGTAAATTTATGCATTTGTGCAGTTTTCCAAAGAACACTAGGGATTGCCAGAAAGATAAGTCCTCGGAAAATGCCTTCCAAACAATTAAACTCATGGAGTGAAGGCATAAGATATTATTGCTCTTTCTTGGAAAAAGTATTTTCTCCTGGCAAGAATTAATGTGAAGTTAAAATGAAAGTTCCATGCTTTTGAATTGGTTAGTTTGCAATTCATAAGCCAAAGCCCTGCAGCCAGAGAGTTTAAAATTGCTGAAAAACATTAATTTCTATTCACTATGTTTCTTGGAGACAGGAATTGTTCATTGCTCCACTGGTTGAGAAAAGTCATGTGCCACGGGTGGGCTGCACGTAAAATGTCAGGTAGTAGTAAAATTATTCTTAGAATTGGCCTAACCTGAAGCTTGTCTTTTTGTTGGGTTCTCAAAGATAGCACTTTTACTACTTTAAGGAGAATTAAAAAAAAAAAAAATCTCTTTACAAAGGGGTTCAGTATGAAAAGGTATTTTAAAATAGGTGTCTTGGGAGAAGTCCTATAGAAATGATTTTTTAAAAACTACAAATGACTTTTCTCCCCTTTGTCTTTTGCGGGGGGAAAAGATAGGTAGTAGACAGGTGGGTGGATAGACAGATGCAGCAATCAATGTAACCGAATGAATGCAGGCGTTGGCTGGCTAACCAGGTAGATTTTAGGGAGAGCCCCCGTGGAGTGGTTGGTTCTCAAGCACTGTGCTTGTACTTGGCACTTTTCACTGGTGCCTGGAATGGTGAGGAAAGTAAGGACAAGATAGTATTGAGGTCAGTAGGGATTTTCTGATTTGTAGTCTTGTTACCTTCTTTCCAGTGTTCCACGTTAAGGTCTCCTTGCTTTGTTCCCTCGGTAGTAAAAGTAGATGGTGGTTTTGTCTGTTGTGGTTGTTTTGAATATTCATACCTGGCAAGACGTAGATGGGTAACTTTAATGAAGTCTCCCGTCACCCCCCAGTTTGGAAGTATTTCTGCTGCACGAAGTCCATTGCTATAGCGGGGACAGCACTGGCTTTGGAACCAGACGGAACTGAGACTGAGGACTAGCCCTGCCACTTCCTCCAGGCCAAGGAGCAACTTAGCCTTTCTGGACCTTCATGTCATTTTCTGGAGTAGGACTAAATGTGCTTACATTGCAAGGTTGTTGTTAAAGCTGGAGGAAATCAATGGAAAGCACCTCACGGGCCCAGCCCCTCCTACTGGGGGGATGTTGAATACAAGGTAGCTCTCAACCTTTACTAACCGTGTGAACTTGGACAAGTTACTTAACCTCTTTGTACCTTATTTTTTTGTTTTTTGCTTTTTTGTTTCCATCTGAACTAGGGATAATAAAAGTACACTTGCTTCATAGTATTGTCGTGAGGATTCAGTGATGTGCAGGGAGGGTGCTTGGCGTGCAGTGAGCCCTCCTTCTGTTTTGCAGTGAGGATTACCTGCTGCTCATTATTTTGTCACTATTGTAAAAATCCCAGCTACCGTGGAGAACCTACAGGTAGTCCTTATGGAGTTTATCATCATGTGAAGAGGTCATGTCAAAGCACACAGATAATGACAGTATTGAAATAGTACTTGCAAAAGTGATCAGTGCTTTGAGGAAGGTAAGGCCCTGGCCTGGTACATAAAAAATACTCAGTGCAGTTGGTTAACTTAAAAAAAAAAGGATGAAGTGCATGTGAGCCGGAAAAGTCTGGCCTCTAGGACCTTAAACTGTCCTACCGCAGGCACCAAGAACTAAGTGTTATCTGCAAACTTCTTCTTTATCCAGGGCGATGAATTCACCAGCAAGACTTGCCAAAATTCTTTTTTTTAAGATTTTATTTATTCACTTGAGAGAGAGAGAGACAAGGGCACAAGCAGGGGGAGAGGCAGAGAGAGAGGGAGAAGCGGACTCCCCGCCGAGCTGGGAGCCCGATATGGGGCTCGATCCCAGGACCTGGAGATCATGACCTGAGCCAAAGGCAGGTGCTTAACCATCCGAGGCACCCAGGCGCCCCAGACGTGCCGAAATTCTTAAGCCTTTCTACCAAATAAAGAGAAAGTCCAGGAGCTGGAGTGGGGGTGGGGCATGCTGTGGGACCCACAGCATCTTGATTCCACTTCCTCTT